TTGATTTGCACATTCTGTTCTCTGGATGTAATACTACAGAAGAACATTATAACACTTTCTTGCCTGAACTCGAAAGAATCATTATACTATATGTTCCTTTAATAGTCCACAAAACAAAACAAAATCTTAAAAAATCATTATGCTATAAAAACAAAACTAAATACGTAACTAACTTCAAAAACCAACAGATAAAGGCAGAATGCACCAATTACCACTGCAACCAAGAGGAAAACCTTCTACGCACAAAATCCACCCGCGCCTTCTATAACTTTGTAAACACCAAACTTAAAGACTCAAAAACCATCCCACCCCTAAAAGGACCAAATGGGAAATACTATAGCAATGAAGCCATTAAGGCAAACCTCTTCAACACATTCTTCAGTTCAGTCTTTGTAAATAATAATGGCTCATGCCCACTTTTCCTAATCATACCACAAGTATCTGCAATGATATTGACTTTACTGAAGATAATGTAGAAAATGCACTACGTCACCTAAAATCATCCTTATCTATTGGCCCTGATGGCTTATGTGCATACTTCTTTAAAAAAAATCTCTCCACTGCCATAGCAGAATCCCTAAGCATAATATATGAGATATCATTCAGAACCAGCTCATTACCAAACTTATGGTCTTTAGCAACAGTCATCCCTATCTTCAAAAAAGGTGACCCCTGCCTGATTGAAAACTACAGACCAATCTCATGTACGAAGTTATGGAATCAATTATTAATCAATGCATTACCGTCCACTGAGAATCAAACAATCTATTATTCAACAAACAATTTGGTTTCAGAAAAAAATTATCCTGCATTTTACAACTTCTACACTGCAAAAACATATGGACTACATTACTTGACCAGGGCAAAGCAATAGATGTAATTAACATAGACTTCTGCAAAGCCTCTGACTCAGTGGTACATGACAAACTACTATTAAAATTGAAATCTTACGGCATTTCCAGATCCCTTCATAAGTGGATTACTGCCTTCCTGTCAAGCAGACAACAATTAGTAAAAATAGGAAACGCCTTATCAAACTCTGCACCAATTAACAGTAGTGTCCCCAAGGAAGCGTTCTAGGACCCACACTCTTTACACTCTATATAAATGACCTTTGTAATCATCTTATAAGTGACTGCATCCTCTTTGCTGATGATGTAAAACTATTCAACATCACTGACAATGCTACCATACTTCAAAGTGACCTTGATTATGTGTCTGAATGGTCAAATAGATGGCAACTCCAAATCTCGACCAACAAATGCTCTGTCCTACACATTGGTAAAAAAAATCAATACACCAAATACAAGCTAGGCGAATATGACCTCGTTGATGACCCTCACTCTGTCAAAGACCTTGGAGTTCTCATATCTGACCAAAGCACCAGAGCTCACTGCAACAACATCGCAAAAAAAATCTTTATGAGTTCTAAATCTGATCTTACGCAGCTTCTCCACTGGTAGTACTAATTTGCAAATTAGGGCATACACAACCTTTGCTAGGCCAATATTTGAATACAGCTCCACTGTCTGGAATATGCACTGCATATCAGACATTAATACAATTGAGCGAGTCCAGAAGTATTTTACAAGAGTACTACACTTCTCTGTTTGCAACAGAATACCCTACACCACCAGACTTGAGATTCTAGGCTTAGACAACCTTCAACTACATCAGCTAAGATTGGACTTAAGCATAGTTGTTGTGGTTAGCCGGCAGCAGGTGTGGACGGCTGAGTTGAGTGAAGACTCAGATGAGGGACCAGGACCATAGGGAGTGGACTGCAGCCTTCGAAGATTGTGGGGGCTGGCAGCAGCAATGAAGAGGTTCCTGAGGAGCCTATGCCAAGTGCATGTGCACACAGGGTTGCTCTCAGGAAAAAGCAGTTGCAATAGCATGGGCAATTCAGGAGTAAGGCTGCAAGGTAATGGCCCCTCCTTTAAGAAGATAAAAGCCAGCTGTGAAGCGAACATTCTTTGTAGGAAGCAAAGACGTTTTGAAACTCAGACTTGTGGACATTACAATATCTTAAGTTGGTATTTGAAGACTCTTGTGTTGTGGAATATTTCTTATCTGTTATTCTTGGCAGTCTCACACAGTTTTGGCAAAGTTCATGCTTATCAAAGTTAATTAGTTTGCAGCAGCCTTTTAACCGGTGATTCATAAGAATCATTAAAAAGTTTCTGTTCTATGATCTTGATAAGTTCAGTATATAAGAATGTCTAAAATGGTCAAATAATGTTCACAAACAATGAACTAGAATGCTTCTGAAAAGGCTGGACAAAACTTATCTGGCTATTTCTGCAATCGAATGAAATCAAATGAAATAGGATTTGATGGAACAACAGTAATTTCAGCTACATCCTTGGCTATTGCATAGACCTGGAGATTAATGACTAGATACTTGCAACATGCCCTGCCCCACCTGTTAACTACTAAATTATGCATTGAAAGTATTTTCAGGTAATCCTATACTTACAACAGTATTTAGTAGCCATTTGAAGTTACAACAGCACTGAAAAACAGTGACTTGTGACAATTTTCATACTTATGATGTTGTAGCCTCCTCTTGGTCATGTGATTTACATTCAGATGCTTGACAACTGACTCAACTTTATGACAGTTGCAGTGTCCAAGAGTTTGTGGAATATAAAAATATATGTTGCAGTTTACTAACTGCAAAGCTAACAAAATATGTGAGGCAAGATATGTGTAGATAAACTTAGCTGTACCTTTGATTGTGAAAACTTTATCTATGGATGTGTCAGATTGGTTTAAGGAAGAATTACTATTACTGGAAAGTCTGAAGACCTAAGAAATTAAGGTTTTCCCAGCCTGAGGCTAATTATTCTCAGACTGGTTATTTTTTACAGCTTAACCTCTATTAATTCCCTTTCAGGGAGCTTCTAAAATCTGTAAGTGATGGCTACGGTTAGGGTTTGGGAGGAACAATATGTCTATCTTTCAAACGTATCATTAGTATTATATAATGAATCTCTCTGTGATGAAATTCAGAGAGAATAGAAGCGATCATTTCCAAATATTGTGGAACAAGAACACATCTTCCCAATTGAACAAAGATAAAGCAATAAGAAGGCCGCATCTTAACATAACTACTGAGAAATCAGTGTTGAAATATACATATTCCTTTTCCAACATTATGTAACCTATGCTGGTATAGGCTTTCACATTCAACATCTG